TATATATATATATATGTGTGTGTATATATATATATATATATATATATATATATGTGTGCGTGTGTGTGTGTGTGTGTGTGTGTAGGCAAAGTGCACAGACCAAGTGCGTCAACATCAGGTCTAAGAGGACCACAAGCCATCAGGGCTGCCATGCTCTGGTCTACGGACAGACGAGGGTGTGGGGCGGCGAGGCTCCGGCTGGGTGATGTCCAGCAGTTTGAGCTTCGCGGGCAGACACACCTGGATTCAACTCCTCCTTCCATACGTCCTAGCAGCAAGCTGCCTCTTGATGGGTTTTGTAACGTGGAAGCCTCCGTACAAGGGCAATCACACTTTCCCTTACGTGAAGTGTCTGTGGGAATGAAGTGAGGTCGCGTAGGTGCGAGCCTCTGTCACGTGCTAGGTGCCTACTCCTGCCTGTTTCCTTCTTTGCTCCAGGCTGCGCAGCTTTGGAGATACTTACCAGCTCATCGCGGGCACATAGAACTTCGATTTGCATTTCACTTGTACATGCACCGTGCGTTTGAGCACAGAGGAAATCATTGAATAGCCTTATGGTTTGGGGGCTATTATAGTTTGTATAGCTCAATGTGAAGACCTGATTCTAAAACACACCTGCCTGTGGATAACGTTTCCTTAGTATCTCATGCTGGAAACCTGCGGGCTGCTGGTGCAGAGGCTGATGTAGCCAGTAGATGGCAGTGCAGCACCGAGAAAAACCTCCCGGGTACGCGGGTTTTAATTAGCTAAAAAAGAGCCAGCCAGGTATGTATGCTTTTGATTTTGTGATTTTCATGAGCAGCCATTGAGGGGGCAAATGTTTTCATCCTTTCCCCCCAAGCTTAAATATCAGAGGAGAGGCAATATCAAGATGCAATCACTCGCTGGCCACGGCAAACCCCTGAACTTTAAGTCTTGCAAACACCATCAGCTTGTGCCAGTGCCTTCTCAGAAATGGCTGTTATGGAAGGAGGCAGGGAGCTGTCGATTACTTCTAGGGCTGCACTCCCCTCTGTCCTTGAAAAGCAAGCCAGCTGACTCTGGGGGTTGTCGGGGGATGAGATTAGGGGAAAGCCGCCGGGACAGGGGGCCAGCTTCTTCATCAGTGTCCTAGAAATATTTCTGAGTCCTAGAGGAAGAAATTAAAAGATCGGCTTACATTCCTACGTGATGGCTGAGCCCCCTGTAATGAATTACCATTAACTGGTCAGCGAAGTAATTGAGACATGGAAGGCTGGAGGGAAGGAGAAAATTCCTAAAGCATGAGTTTTCCTCTAGTTGCTTCCTTTGTCCTTGGAGTGGGAAAAAGCTTAATGTGAAATGAGTTAGTGTTCTTGATGCATACTAAGCACCCGATCCATCCTCTACACGTTTTGCTTTTACTTGGGGTGATCTTCAAATTAACCCACGTGGCAGGTAATATTGGTACCATTTTACAGATGAGGAAAACTGAGTCTTAGGGCCATTTGGTAACTTGCCTAAGGTTGCATGATGGTTAAAAAGTTTCAGGTGGGTTTCAAACCTCCATCCTTTGTCATTTCCCTCCCTGCTACCCCTCCATCACCATCCTTCATGGCCAGAAAAGGATTCTAAATAAATATGTGCTGTCTCCTTTTTTTTAACAAAAAAATTCTCTTAAACTTTTAATATCTTCTTGTTTCAAAGTTGAAGGAAAATTTTCACTCAGGTTTCCTTCCTTCCTTCGAACAGAAGGCTCTCAGAGCTAAAAATTTCTGAAAGTCTGGGGATCCTTTTGTATCCTGTTCAATTTCTTTATTTGCGCTCTTCATATCAACTAGCAGAAAATCAAGATGGGAAGTGCTGGTGGTCATGACATCAGCAGGGCAGGGTTTTAGTGAAGTTTGCTGAAAGAGGGAGTTCCAGGTTTTTAAAAATCACAATGTTAACATAAGCTAAGCCCAAACGTTGCTTGCTAATTACAGGAAAATAATGCACATTTGTTGCAGAACATTTAAAAAACACAGAAAAATATGTGAACATAAGTTGATCTCACCACTTAAGGTTACAGCTGTAATACCTAATACTTCCCCTTATTTTTTCCCCAAATCGCGTATGTTAGTAAACAGCTCATACAGTGTTGTGTTTACATTCTATTGTCAAAGCATCTCCTGTCTCAATATTTTTTTCTTAACATCAATTTAGTAGCTTTGTGTCCTCTTCCATTATATGAATATTTCCTAATTTTTTTTTCCGTTACTCCTCTGATTTGTACGCTTAGCTTGATTTCAACTTGGAAGAAATAGGTTCTCTCTGGCCTCTGATGGAGGATGCCACAGGTTAACCAAAATATTCTTTGAAGATGTGTCCCGTGCCAGTCACTGGGCTGCGTATGCTGTGCCACCTCATTTAAACCCCACAGCGACGGCAGTGAGGGCTCTCACTTCCTCATGGACTAAATGGAGAGAAGGTGAAGGAATGAATCCCTTCCACATACTCAGGCTGGTTTCCACCCATCCCAGACCTGCCTCTCCAAGTGCCAGGGTCTTGTCACTCAGGTAGGTCTCAAGCAGACCAGACAGAGGCGGAAGTTGGGCGTGGGTGGTGTTATCAGCAACAGGAAGCGTTCTTTCCAAACAGGAACTATGCAGAATCTCATCGTCTTATTCTGAGCCTTTGTCCCCCCACCTTTCACTCTGATGATGCTCAGAGATGCCCGGGGAGCCATGGGGATGCACACAAGTGGAGCACATCCAAGGACCACTATGTCCAGGCTGCCCTGGTCTCCGGGACGCAGCTCGTTCTTGCGTAATTTAAGCACTACATGGCTTTGCAGTTTAAGTTCTGTGAAATTGGTGTTCTCCCATCCGTGAAATTATATACATCTTGGGAACATTTCCAGTTACTAAAGGGGTGAATGCCTTCTTCAAAAGGGGGAGACAGCACGCATTGATAGGGCTTACCCCGAAGAGAGCCGCTCCCTCGCCTGGTGAGGCACAAAGGCAGGCCATTTTTAAACTCGATGGAAACTAAACTCCCAAGTAGAAGACTCCCATTACGTATCCAGCTGCCAGTCATTCCCTCTTTCCCTGTCTCCCCCATCACACCCACTCCCTGCCCCACTCTCGCGCATCAAGAGACCCGTGGAAATGGCGGGTGATGCAGATCACGTGTGCTTTCTGAGCCTTCTCCAGACTGCTGCCACTCTCTTGTGTTTCAGGAGCCCATGATGAGGATACATAATCTTCCAAGAAATGTTTCTGATTGAATGATTTCACGTGCCTGGTTTGTGCTGCGCACGTGCACCCAACTTCTCATGATGTGACTTAAAAATATTCATTATGCAAATACAAATAGTACATGATTTCATAGAGAAATGCAGCTAAACTCATTTCCACTAATCTCTGCAATGTTAGCATATAGGAAAGGCAGATAGTGAGTTGCTAAAAGAATCAGACTTATAGAAGAAAGAGATTCCTGTGACTTGGGGTGTTGGTAGGAACCCAAATTAGAATTGACATCCTCCGAATTCCCAGTTTAAAAGTCAGGGGATAATCTGCATTAGTCAGGATAGGCTGGTTCATGCTTCAATAAGGAGCATACCCTGCTCTCTTAGTGGCTTATCACTCGAAGTTTCATTCTTGCCACACAGAGCTCGCTGCAGACACTGCTGCTCTCCAAGGCCGTTCTCTACCAAGGGGAAATGCCAGGATTCTGCGTGCATCTGTCTTCCATAGCTATGCTGACATCTTATGTGGCTTTGCAGGGTTGTAGTAACAGGAGAAGAGAGGACAGGTAGAGCTCACACCTACTGTCTGTTCAGCCCAGAGTTGTCACATGACACCCCTGCTGTTGCCCAGAACAGGTCACACGAGCCCAACCTTAGTGCAAGGGAGTTCGGCAAATGTGTGTTCAGGAAGAGCGGAGTGGGCTGGGGCTCAGTAATCACCTGTCATCTATCACGTTGCCAGAACGGTCCTCCTGAGTGTAAGCTATGGAAAGAGAAGATGCCACGTGTTAACAAAAACGTTCTTTGTAACCATACTATGCGCCATGCCCAGTGCTATGCACTGCACCTGCATGACGTCACTGCGTCGTGGTGAGGGGTGGGTGATCATTTTCTCCAGGTGACTTCTGAAGCTCTAGCAGTGGGTACACAGGGCTGCAAACCCAGGTCTACCAGAAGCCAAGCCCTTAACATCACCTGTCCAGCCACTCCATCTGCAGATTCTTTACAGATAACTGAGGGACCCCAGACTTGGCCTCTAAGGCTGGTTGTGTCTGGAGTTTTTATGCAAACTGGTCGTAAGACCTCTGGCTCGAATTGCCTTCTCGTTTTTAATATGTGTTTATGATTTCTATGAGGTGATAAATTAGACTTTGAAATATAAAGAAGACATTTTTCTCAAGTCTTATTCTCCATATTTATTATATGTAAAAATCTGGATTTACTAGATATGAGTAATGGATAACTTTTTGTTTTACAAAAAAGAAAAACTTAGTTTTGTTTTAAAAATTTTTATTTACTTATTTATTTAAATTGAAGTATAATCAATTTACTTTCTTGTGTTAGTCTCTGGTGTATGGCATAGGGATTCAAGTATACACACATATACAAATTCTTTTTCATTATAGGTTCTTACAAGATATTGAATGTAGTTCCCTGTGCTGTACAGTAGGACCTGATTCTTCATTTGTTCTCTATATAGTGATTAGAATCTGCAAATCTATAACTCCAAATTTATCCCTAAACCCCCACTTTCCCCTTTGGTAACTGTAAGTTTGTTTCCTATGTCTGTGAGTCTGTTTCTGTTTTGTAAATAAGTTCATTTGACTCATTGTTTTAGATCCCACATAGAAGTGACATCATATGGTATTTGTCGTTCTCTGGCTGACTTACTTCACTTAGTATAATCATCTCTAAGTCCATCCATGTTGCTGCAAATGGTATTATTTCATTCTTTAAAAAAAACCCTTTTAAATAGTAACTTCCTCTCATGCACTTAAACACATTTTATTTAATCCACAAAATAATTTTTACTATTGTATATAAGAGGTCTTATCAGGGACCT